CAGCAAGTTGGGATGTTGCACTGGGACACTAACACCAAGTACCTCAGTGTCCTCTCCACACACATCCAGCTTCAAGGGAGCAGAATGCCAAGTTCTCCAAAACCTTCAAAACCAGATCCAATAGCATGGCAAGAAGCATAAATTCACTCAATTTTATTGTATCAATATTGTCAAGTTTCATATGATAACACCAACTTCACCTTAGCTCCCAACAGCTACAACAGGAACAACTAAGGCTTTGTAAATGAGGACCAACTCATTACCTAACTAAAAAAATTTTATCTCAGAGTAGCAGATAAATACAATACAAACTTTATCAGAAATGTATCATTCTAGCAAAACGACACAGCTCCTCAAAAAACCCCACAAAATCCACAAAAACACAAAAGTAGAAGGAAGCAATTGCTCCTCAGTTGTAACTTATGGGGTTTTTTTTAACAGAAGCACTTCCCTCACACACCTTAAGAGCAGCACTTGGTAGAAGGAACAGCCAAAGGTAAGCATGTCTTACAGCTCTTGACAAGCAAACAGGAATCTAACAGTGGAATTTAAATAGACTCAGTCCAAAAACTCAAGTTACCACAGCAGTTCCTGTTTTACAGCACTATTACTCCTTGGTTACTCTGCTTCTGGGCAAAAGTTACCATGTGAACTTTAGCCCTACATCAGCATTCACCTCAAAGTAAAAACAGAAGATAATTTCTTTTTCTGAGCATTTGAAAACTCTAAAGGATGAGTGTTGAGCATCCTGTGAAAAACACCTGACACATTCCAGTATGCCTTGGTCACCACGAGGGAATAAATAAGTAAATCTATTCCCACCCCTTCTAGATTCAGGTTCAGCTTGTACTGACTTCTGTGAAACAGAAGTATGCAATAGTAGCACCTTCAAATTACCAGATGATAGAGTGGTGAGTGGTAAATTCCCATCAGTCAGCTCAAGGCTTACTAGCAACCAGTGAAAAACTAAGTTTTGTTATCCCACAACATCAGCCTGACAGCAATGGAACAGAGTCTGGAAAGGAAGGGTCACAAGCACTCCAGGAAGATGCTAATTTCTCTCAGCATCTCCTCCCAGGCACACATTTCTTCCACTGCAGGGTTAAGAGCTGGCACAAATCTCATGGCTTGGGTTTTGCCTCTCCCCAAGAGCTCCCAAGCCTTTTCTAAGCCTAACAGCTCTGGCCCTGCTACCACTGCTCCACTCCTTGGACAGGACTGAGCACACAGGATTGTACCAGATCCTTGTGCAGCTTCTCATGAGCCCCACCTCCAACTCCAGAACTGAGTTCTCACACGTGAGAAGTGGTGAGAGGAGTCATCCTTTATATTTTAGCAGTGCATTTGGACTATTGTTTGACATGGGCACATCCTTACTTGTCCCAGACTTTGGGGTTTCAGTCTCCCCCATCACTTGTTCCTTTTCTCCAGAGGAAGCACATTTCAATGTGTGTGGATCCTTCAACAGCCAAGCTTCCCACTTGTACCCAGTTACTCCAACACATTCAAAAACACCTTGCTTGTCATTAGCCAAGCACCAGGAAGCAGCTGCATCCTCTTTTCACAAGAGGGCAGACCCTAGATTCCCAATTCTCACAGCTGTAGAAGTCCACCAAAGTGGCTGCAAAGAAGTTTCACTCCTTGCCTCCACTGCTGAGCTACATTTCATTCTCTGATGGGCAGCCCTGAGCTGCTCCAAGCAAGCCCTAGAACAAAGTGCAAGGGCTGTTCAGTGAACCACCAAGAGTTACAAGGAACATTAGAGGGAGAACATTAACAGCAAACACAAAGTTTCCACAACAGCTTCTCAAACAAGGATGCTTCCTTCAAACACCAGTGAGCTGTATTAATGTCACCACCTCCTCAGGCTCTCAGAGGTTTCAGTACTTCGGTACTTCCCTCCCCTTCTTTGGTGGAGGCAGGGGGTAAATTCTTATGGAGCTGAAATACACAGAGGTTTGCTTAAGCCAAATGTTTTATTTATTTAGGCACCAGTGCAAGGGTTAGAAGGCTGGAAAATTCAGCAGGTAAGCTCTAACAAGCAAAATAAATTATTTTAACCACTACTGTGTTATAAATACTACACAATGCAACACATAACAGCCCAAGCTAATTAAGAGCTTCCTGAAAGTAAACATCATGATACAGAAGTATCAGTCTAACATTCCCCCAAAATATAAATTAAGATTCTTCATATGGATCAAATCCTCTCACCTCTACAAGCAAAAAGCAAACCACAGAATTCAAAGAATTCACAATTTATCAGTGATCAGGGAGAGAGAAGTGGCTGATGTCACATTTTATTTTCACTGTATTTCATCCTTACTTTCCTTCTTCATCTCATAGTGGCTTCAAACTTTGCCAAGCCATAGCAGTCTACAGACCCAACTTAGTATATGAGCTTACTTTAAAAGCAAGTCCCTCAGACAAGGCTTACCAACCATTAAAGCAAAATAAATCTGCATTTACCTAAAATTCTACTTAAAAGTATTAAAATGAGACTATAGCATTTAATTAGTAATGTTCAAGATGCATCACAGAGTACTTTGCAAACAGCTTTAAGAGTTCTGCACAGAAAGAATATTATCATTAACATCTAGTGCAAGAAAGCCTTGCCACAGAACCAGGAAATACATTTATTCTACTACTCATTATGCTGCTTCCTAAGTCAGTTCTAAGGATTTTTACCTCCATCCTAATAGTTTTCCCAGGACAGTATTTTTGCTAGTCAGCATCTTGTTTGAAAGCAGTATCAAGATTTGGATTTTCAGAACATTGTGCCTGACTGACAAACAAATTAATTTTAAGAGTTCCCACAACATAAGCAAGTTGTATAACTGCATGCAGCTGAACTTAAATTAGAAGCAATCTAAATAACAGGCTCTTCCCACATGACACACCTAAAGATGTACATAGGTATTACTTGATACAGATTATGACTGCTGCTACCTTCAGATTTAAATAGTCACATGTTTCTGAACCAATCTTCTCTCTCTCCCCTTCCCAGACACATCTGCAGAAGTGGCTTCCAGATTCTCACATAACTTTAGTGCTCTGTGGCAGACTTTAAAAATAGCTAAAACAGACACAAATATGCATAATTTAGTCAGCAATAAGCTTAACGCTTACATCACATAGGACTCCAGCTTCAAACCCAGACCTAATCCTTTTTCCACCTGACAATGATTAGGCAATTACAAGACTTCACTTACAATCAGATCAAAATCATCCTGTGTTTCTTTATTCCTACAAAGAACAGGCATGACTGATTTGCTTCTTCTAGGCTACCACCATGCAAATTGGCAGAGCTACTCAGTTTAGTTGGTAGTAACTAGATAATCTACACAAAGTTAAGAGGCATTTCTTCCACAGGTAGTAAGTAACCTGCAGCAGAAGCTACATAGCCTTTGGAACTAGGGCCAAAATAAAAGCAAGATAAAACAAACAAAAAATCCCCAGTCAGTGGAGTCCAAGCTACCAAAATCCAGAAAGAGGAACACAAGCTAGACAAGACTCTTCAAGCTGGGTTCAGCAGCAGAAAGCCAGTTTGCCTGGACTCTGTTCCTCTTAGCAAACTATCTTGCTCACAACACACACTGCCCTGCAAAGGCAGTGATAAAAGATAAGGGACTGGGTCATGCTCCCTTCTTGTGGGACTCTTGTGGCTTCACAGCTTTTTCAGGCCACTGTAGCATCACAAAACCACTCAGCTCCCCACAAACGCTGGGGCCTATGTGGTAGCATATGTTGGGGCAAGCAAGCTCTCCAGAAGCACACTTGAGCAGACACACCAGGTGCCAGGGCCAGCAGAGCTCAGGTCACTGAGCAGCACACACATCACCTCCTTGCTGCTGGCTGCACACCGAGAACGGCCTAGCGCCCACCGGGGCTCACCGTGCCGTACCATACCCAGCACATTGCCGAGGGCAGCCGGCGGAGCATCGCTGCTGACAGTGACATCTGCTGTGTGTCCTGAGATCCCTGACGTGCTGTGGCCTGACTTGAGCTAACTGCAGGTGCCCCGGACCGCACACCGGCCCTTCCTAAGGATGACAACAGCAGCGAGCTCCTTGCCCGGCCGGGTCCCGGCGGGTCTGCGACACACGGGACACCGGGGGGCCGGGCAAGGCCGACCCGCCGTGCACAGCGGGGCTCAAGGCGGCGAGGACCGGCCCTGCCGCGGCAGTCACTGACCAGGCCATGTGTCCGCACGGCCCGACCCCGCCGCACTCCGGCCCGGGCAAAGGCCGAGCACGGCCCCGTCACCGCTCAGGCTGCGGCCGAGCAGTCCCCGGGACACGGCACAGCACGGCACGGCGGACCGGCAGCGCTCCCCGCTCCCATCCCGGCGGGACGGTCCCAGCAGGAGCCGCAGGCTGCCCGGGGCGAGAGCGCTACTCACACCGACACCACCTCCTCCCGGCTCCCCGGCCGCAGAGCCGCTGCCGCCCGCCTCCCCCGCCGCTCCGCGCCCCGGCCAAGCCCTACCGGGGTCCAGGGCGGGCCCGGCGCGGCCGCACGAAGCCAATGGCTGGGCAGAGGCGGGAGGGAGCGGGCGAAGAGCCTGGAGCACGGCGGAATCGCTGCCTGCGGAGGCGGAGCCTGCGAGGGCTTATAGGGCCGGGCCGGGCGCTCCCCCCCCATGTGACCGCGCGGGCGCCCAGCTGGGGCGAGTTAAGTGGCGGCGGCGGGGACCGCCGGCTGCCCGGCTGCCGCTCCCCAGAGCTTTAGCCTTGGCTTTTTTGATTTCTTATTTTTTTCTCCTCCATCCTTGGCGTTGGGCACTTTTCAAACAGCAGCGCCCCGCTGAGCGCGGCGCGGACCGAGCCGCCCCGGCGGCGCTGCAGGCGGCGGGGGCGCGGGGAGCGATGCTGCCTACCCGCCCGGGCTCCCCGCCGCCCGCCCGGGCTCCCGGAGCCGCCTGAACAGCGGGGAAGGGGGCGCTGGATGCAGGCGCGATCCGCAGGCAGCGCTTGCCATGTGTGCTGGTAGCGCCCGGCTGTGGCAGCGCCCGGGGCCCGGCACCGGGTAAGGCAGGGCGGCACCGGGCAGGGCGGCACCGGGCACGGCCCCCGCCGCCACCATGGTGAAGGAGGAGTGCAAGGCGCTGCTGGACGCGCTCAACAAGGTGACCGCCTGCTACCGGCACATGGTGCTGACCATCGGCGGCACCTCGGACTCCCAGAACCTGCGGGAGGAGCTCAAGAAAACCCGGCAGAAAGCTCAGGAGCTGGCGGTGGCCAACAGGAACAAGCTCACCACGGTCCTGAAGGACAAAAGCGTGAGTAAGGAAGATAAAGCCGAGTTCGAGAGGCTATGGGTGATTTTCTCCACGTGCCTAGAGATCCTGGAGATCGATATGAGGAGAGCCCTGGAGCTGGGCCACGAGTTCCCTCTGAACGTCCCCAAAAAGCACTTGATCCAGACGGGCATGAGCGGGGGAACCTCCGGCGTGGCCGCCCGCGCCATGAGCGTCCAGAACATGAAATACGAGGCTGAGCACAACATAGACGTGGTGGATTTGAAAGACCTCGAGAACGAGATCAACCAGGTAGGAGAGATGATGTACGAGATGGAGATGAAGGTCAATGTCCCCCAGTGGACAGTAGAGGCTAAGCAAGACCCAGGGGCTGAACTGAAATCCACCATCAGCGTGGGCGCTTCCTCTATTGGCATGATCTCTGTGGAGGAAAATAAATCCTTCTGCGATATCAGCAAGGTTCTAGCTGGGATTATTTTCACTGCTGTGCTCATTATCGCTATTGTCCTGGCAGTGTGCGTGGTAAAACTGTCTTAGGGTGGTGCAAGCTCTGACACGAGCGACCGACCCCTCTCCAGCCTGTCTCTGGAGTGTTTCATGCCTCACCTTCACTTCCAAAGTGTGTTACTTGGATCAACTGAGAATTTTAAACGAGCACTTGAAAGAACAAAGCCGAACTTTTGCCTCTGGATAGCCTAAAATGCACTATTTGTTTCTTCTATGCTTTTTGAAGAAAAGGGATGCAAATCAGCCTGCAGAATAGAATGTCTTCGTTTACTGGACTTGGAACAGTTAAGCGAAGTACCAGGGTATTATCACTACTGGCTGTAACAGGGATTTGCCTGCTATTAATAGGTCAATATTCTCAGAAGCCTGTGGTTTTTGTTCTTCACTAGGCTCTGGTGTTTGCTGCTGGTCACTGTTTACAGTATAGGAGGGTAACATAAATTTGATGGCTAACATGGGTGTTTTGTCTGACCAAGTGAATAGAATTCATCAAATACAAAACGTATTTCTTGAGCAGAGGAAAGGGCTAAGGATGAAAACCCCAATACAAGAATGTAACCCAGCTCTATTTTAAATAAGTTAATGGTTGGGGAGGGGGGAGAAAACAGAACGATGTTTGATACCAAGTACTGTTTGTTGATTTCGACTGGAGTGTACGGAACCCAGTTGCATGAATTGGCACAGCACATGTCAATGACTAATCGCTTTCCAAATCCAGAGAGAAAAAAGGGAGAGTTGCATATTCAGAAAAATACTAGCAAGCCTCATGGTTTTCATTCACATTTACCACGATTTTAGCTTTCCCTGCAGGAAGACTGATTCTTGCTACTGATTTTAATTTTTCTTTCTGAAGCAGCAATTTGTACTCTGTGATTAATTATGAAAACAGGAGCAATGAATCTACCCACAGCAGATGCAGTAACATGGGAAAATAGATTGTAGCAAAAAGAAATGATGTGAAGTTAAAGCAGACTTTCCCAATGGGATCCCCTCTCCTGTTGACACAGAGGGACTGATGGTTGTATGTGTACAGCCACATTTCTGCAAGCTCCCAAACAGCAGAAATCCAGACAAAGTTAAAAATGTGTCTCAGTTTCATATCTCAGTCATTTCTGATTAATCATCTGGGAAACGGGAAGCCTGTAGGATTGGTTCCATTTGATAAAATTACAATTCTGGAAGGGAAATACAACAGCATTAAACTTTCTAGTTCTTCCCTGTGGAATTGTCAACATTTAAACATAAAACTGTGGGAACATACTTAGCAGAGAAGCTGTACAATATTTTATAAAAAAGATTTATGTGTTATGGTATTTATTATTTACTTCTGGAAATACCTTCTCGTGCTGTGAACACACACTGTCTGTTCAGGAATGCTTGGTACATGTGCTACAGTGCCATAGGTGTATGGGGCACTCCACAGCCAAATATAAAGACCCCAAAATACTGCGGGTTTAAGAAATTATTTTTCTTTCTTGGTTATTACAGGAACATTATCAAAAATAATCAGTAATAATCAGACATGTTTTGTGAACAGTCTTCATTCTTGTTAAATAAAATTGACAACATGCATATTTTTTAATATTTTTGAGTTAAGAACTAAACATACTTCAAGAAACTGCAGCAAACAGTTTAATCTTTAAAACTTAACTGGATTTATGGGGGGGAAGTATATTTGAATCTAGTCACTTGTAGGTGAGGAAAAAATAGAAGGCAGAGGCCTGAATTCAAAGCTGTAGATTATCCTCATTTTGAAGGATAATGTGAGCTCTGTACATTGGTCCAGTCTAACTCCATTCTCTCAGGAATTCAGAGTGTTCCAAGACAACTCCACATTCCTTTCTGTTGTGTCTCACTCATACCATAGAATATGGTTTAAATGTAGTTATTCTCTGTCTGTAGAGATCCCTGACAGCTTTCTAACAAAGCCAGGTCTGTATTTATCGGTGCTACAGTTCCAGCCTGCCTAGACAAGCTGGAATTGCTGACTGTTCATTTAAATTGGATGATCTCCTTCACAATCACAATAAGTAAACATATTTAAGGAAAATACAGTAAAAGCTGCAGAAGAATGTACCTATTGTATTGCCACCTCTTGTCATTAAGGACCTGTGGATGTTTTCACTTTTTGCACTCTCAGTTCACAGGAAGGTAGAGAAGCCATTGGGCTCTGTTCTGTGCTTCCTGAAAACTCCATCAACCTTGTGAAATCAGACCATTTAACCACATGTTCTCAAACCCCCAAGTCATGAAAGCAAGTCTGTTTTCTGGTGGCTAAGTAAATGGTAACAAAGACAACATTCATTATCTTTTATCTCAGTATCTTCCACACACCTAACCATAGATAAACAGTTTATTCATGCTTAGTTGTGTAGAAGAATTTTTAAGAATAAGTCATCTTTGAAAGCAAGCCTCAGCGGGTTGGTAAACTGTTATGTTTTCAGTCCATTGCAGTTTTGGTTTTTTACTTGGATTTTTTATATAGGACTCAAAGAATTCATATAAATAGCCTATAAGTATGAAGTCTTGCATTATTATGAATATGTACAGAATTACTACTTAAAGGATTGGCCTTGGAAAAGAATTTTCAAATCTTAAGACAAAGCTGGCTGCAAATTAATTCATCATTAGTATGTTCCTAAAAATCTGTATCATCTTATATTTAGCCTATCTATCTGAAATTAATAGATTAAGTAGAATTCTAACAGAGGATTGGCACTGTCTACATGGATAAAGTGCTGCCACTCATCTCCTACACGTGTTTGTTCCACGTGACAGAGTTTGGCACGACACTGCACAAAACCAAAACTAAATGAAACCTCCATTGTCCAAAAGTACAGAAGCTTCCTTTAAATTAAGAAATAGAGATATAGATTTGCAGTCTTCATTTTCCCCCCTACTGGAATGCAACTGGAAGGAGACTGGAAATGCTGCTTTGTAAATGAAAAATGGGAATTCATACTTTAAAATACTCTATATTGAAACAGCACGATAAAAAAGCACATACTCTCATATTGATTGGTGAGAATGTAATTATAGTACAAGAAAAGATGGTCATTGCTTAATATCAGTGTTGATCTACTTCAGCTCTTTTGTCTTTATTCACAGAATACACATATTAAATTTGCTGTATGGTAAAATCTTACTCCTGACTTGAATTACACTGGTTTTGCCTGTGCATGGGTGGTATTTTCTACACTTTGAATAATGCAAACCTGTTACTGTCACTATTTATTTAACTTAAAATAAAGTACTTCCTTATAACTTACTGGTTTGCTTGCAGTAGTAATTCAAATAAAACAAAATCTGTCAGAGCAGGTCCAGAGGAGGTCACAAAGGTATCACAGGGATAAAGCACCTCTGCTGTGAGGAAAGGCTGGGAGAATTGGGACTGTTCAGCCTGCAGAAGACAAACTTTGGGGTGACCTAATTGTGCCCTTCCAGTGCCTGAAGGGAGCTTGCAAGAAAGATGGAGAGAGCTTATTCACAAGGGATGGAGTCACACGGGGGAATGGCTTCCCACTGACAGAGCTGGTTCAGATGAGATGCTGGGAATAAAATGTTCCCCGTGAGGGCAGTGAGGCCCTGGCACAGGGTGCCCACAGAAGCTGTGGCTGCCCCATCCCTGGAAACATTCCAGGCCAGGCTGGACAGGGCTTGGCACAATCTGGTCTGGTGGAAGGTGTCCCTGCCCATGGCAGGGGTAGAAACCAGATGATCTTTAAGGTCTCTTCCATTTTAAACCATTCTATGACCCTTTGAAAAGCTGGAATATTAATATAGCTTATCTGTACTAGACTTTTCTAAACTACAGTTCCTGTTTCAACCACAGTATTAAAAGTAACGTGCTAAGCCCTCTCATTAGTTTTGTAAACATCAACACAGCCTTCTCAAGCTCCCAAAGCTGAATTGTGATGCAGCTTACACTGCCAGGGAAGCAGCAGTCTGGAAAGCCAGGAAATGCTGCCCTAGGAAACAGCTACAATAACATTTAGGCTAACAGATGATTCTGCCTTCAGCCCTGGATGTCCAGAGTTAAGTACAGAACCATTGGCTTGGACAACCTGAAAACCAGACTAGGCTGGACAAACAGTTGGAATCTCCTTGTGTTAGGATGCAAACTGTCTCTTTCAGCCAGCAAAGCTGGCATTTACTTTAGCAAAGATTTACACAACCTAAGGAGTGTGAAACTTGGTCCTGTGCTATTGGTAGCAACAATGATCAACAGTTGTATCAAACCATCAGAACTGAGTCTGTTAAATGCAGCAATTTGTAATTTCATTCCAGGATTTCCAGTCTATCACCATAAAAACCCATTACCCTTTTTTCTAGTTTAGAAATACAGGACCATAATTAAAGTGTTTCTCTTGATGTTGCAAGCAATGTAACATCAAATTTCAGCACTATGAATATAAAATAAAATTAGTTTCAAAATTCTTCATGTAAGTACGAAAATGTTTTTTACAGTAATGCAATTATTTAAAACTGGACTAAATGACTGATGTAATTAGCTTTCAGATTAAAAATTAAACATGTGCTTATTGTTTGTAGAGAGGATTGGTTACAGGCTTGCTTTTCCTTCTCTGGAAGGTTTGTGTTGTTTATGTTTGCTTTCCAGAAATACCTTCTATTTAAGTGCTAATGGAACTCCTAGTCAACATATTTACCCTTCACAGATTTTCATTATGTAAAAAGTCATTCAGTAAGACCAGTGGATTACAGATCTCTAAGTGCTTTCTCTCAATACGATTATGTAAGTCTTTTAATACAGGAAGAGATCTGGACAAAATAGTTCACACGTGAGCAGCATTTGCTACAGTAAGTGTACAATAAAAGTGGGACTAGAAAATAATGTCTTTCATATGAAATTATCCATATGTGTTTAGGGAACAACAAAAATATGAAAGGAGATGGATGTATGTAGTAAATACCAAAGTTTGCTTTTTGTTATGTACAGCAGCATCCCAAAGTTAAACTACAGCAAAGGAATATCTTATGCCCAGTGGGACAGAGGATATAAAATATCCCTGAGTGGAACTGACTCCATTCTCTTATTATGTCTCAGAGAGTAAGAGTAAAACTATTTTAATGTGCTACATGCTGTTATCCATTTTACAGAAGACAATCCTTCTCTCCCCCAGCTCCACACTACAATGACTTTCTCCTGGAGGAAGGCAGTGCCACATGGCTAGATTCCATCCCCATCCTCACAGCTCACTGCTGTGCTACAGGGTGCAGCTGGGATGTGGCTTTAGCAGCTGCCTCTGCAGAACCTGTGCAAAGGTGAAAAATCCCAGGGCATTGAGCCAGCACCAGGGCTCTGGTGGAGCCTCTCAGGCAGCCAAGCACGAGTGCTCCATGCTGGAAGCAATGTGACTGCAAACACAAATCCCATCACAACCTCTCTGAAACCGCCACCCACAGAGGCCACTCACCAAAGGCAATTCTGTTTATTTCTCAGTTCCAGCCATTTGTGAGAATATCTACTGTGATTTACCAGAGAGACAGAAACTGACTTCTCAGCCCTCCACAGGGTCAGGTGGGTTTTTGTTTTGTTCTCTTTCCTTGGACTGTATGTTTTATTTACGCTGCATTGCATGGCATTATTTATCATATACTTAAATCTCCACCAAATTAAACAAACTCACAAATAATCTCAGAGCTAGGTATAATTCAGCTGCACAGAAATGAAGTCACAGCTGTGGTATAAATGTGCTCTGTTGTTTTGATCATTTCCACTGTGCATGAAATTACACTGCAGTCTCTGGTCAGTCAGGTCTGTCTCACACACAAATAAATGTTCAAGTAACACACACAGTTGAACTCACTGATGTGCCACAGCACTAAGAAACCACACAGCCAAACAACTGACTTTAAAAATCATGGGGCTTTTGAAAGAATAATAAACCTCCTACCTTACAGTCATCTGCAATTGTCTTGGGAAAAAATAATTAAATGCAATTTCTTTGTGTGATCCAGAAAAATCTATACAGAAATAGCATAAACTTTGGGGAGGAAAAAAACCACAAGAATGGGGAAATAGGAAAAAAAAGGCAAAAGAAAATACTTAACTATTTATACCATATAAAATGACTGAGGACTGCCAGAGACAGCAAACATGATACTCCCTTAGCAACTAAATCTAATATGCTAACTGCA